TTGTGGTTGCACCTGTCTTCTTCATAACCTAACCCTGCTAAGGTTGTTTAATAAGAGGCACTTCTCTGCCCTCAGCTTCTGAGATGTTTCATTCGATGGTCGTTATTTGGGTGGACAGCTGATTTTGTTTTAAAGTCCTATTCTTTTCTTAGATGGATACCCTGGGCCATCGAGCACTGGAAGTGTGGCAAGGAAACCATTGTAGTGACATTTTGTCAGATCCTTGACATTCAGACCTGAGTTTCAATAGCCGATTTTTTTTTCCTTGTGTCTAAGAATTTAACATGTATTGTGTTTCCAGTAGTTCCAATCTAATTTTGTCTAATTTCCAGGGTCAGTGGAAAGGTGGTTCCCTTTCAGCCCTCCTCCCAAGACACCTAGCGGAGCTGGAGCCGGCTGGTCTGTCTCGGGGTCTAGTAGGTATAGGAGGCTGTGAAGAGTGACTGGGTAGAAGTAGCACCGGAAGAGCCCGTGTGAACATACTTGCCTTGGGCTGCCTGGCAGTTAGCCTGAAAAACAAGAGAGAGAGAGAGAGAGAGAGAGAGAGAGAGAGAGAGAGAGAGAGAGAGAGAGAGAAGACCAAGTTAGAGCAAACTCAACCCAGTGTTTGACCCTCTCTACTTCTCATTTAAACCCGCTACATCTTCATTTGGATATTTTTCTCCTTAAAGTGATTTTGCTGACTATTGCAGCTGATGCTGTCTCTTTACCTCAACAGACCTGATTTGAAACCCATCCTTTCTTCTTTGCTGTCTCTTTCCTCCTTTTGAAGACCACCTCTGCCACCTGTGTGTAATATTTAGTCTCGTGCAATCCTGTTTCCTCGAAGTCCTTGTCTTCTCAATGGTCCCCACTCTCCTAATCTTTAATCTCTCCTCTGGCTTTGTCTGCTGTACTTTTAAATATGCCAAGCTCTCTCCTAGTTGGCTAAAATCTAAGCTCCCCGAAGGCAGTGGCTATGTCTGCTTTGTTCACCCCAGTCCTTGACTCATAGTAGGTGTTCAAAAAGGAATGGCTATTAGTTGAATCAAATCCTTTTTTGTCCTCATTTCTCCTGGTAACCTTTCTGGGTCTTTTTGTGAACAAACTTCTTGTATGGACACCTTTCCTCTTCTCTCTCTATTGAAACTGTTATGTTGAGGGTCACTGATATGCTCCTAAACACCAGTCTCTGCCTTTTCTCAGGCTTTATTCTGAATCTTTCTGTCATGTAGTTATTGACCCCTTGAAATTTGTTTCTCTTTGTTCCCAGAATCCTTGGTCCATCCTATGATATTATTGCTGCTTGTCTTGGTGGCTTCTCTTCATCTTCCCAAAATGAAAGGTGTCCCCGGTTCAGTCCTTAGCCCTCTTACCTTCCCTCTGAAGTGTCTCTGTGAAAATTGTCCTTCAATCTACTGTCATCACTTATACTCCCAGTGTGGATAACTCAAAGCTTTCTCTGGCCCTAACCTTCCTACCAAGCTCCAATGCCCCATTTTCAAATACCCAGTAGATACTACCTGAGGAAAGCAAAGCTTTGCCATATATGAGAGCCAGGCCCCAAGTGTCACTTGATCAGGTAGATAAGAGTCTTACCACTGCCCGCTTCATAAAAGCCTCCTGAGTCGCCTTCTTGTTGGCAGCCTTGCCACCCCAGGCAGCAAGCGCGCTGGCCTGCAGGGCCCGTCCATAGGAGAAGCTTAGTTTCCAGGGCTTTCGTAGAGGGCAAAGGTTGATAGCATTGAGGTTGAGGGTAGCATCCTCTTCACTCATGCCACCAGACAAAAAGCAGATGCCTAGAAGGAGAGAAGCCATTCCACTCTACTAATCCTAGTGAGTGGACCCTGCTTAAGGAAGCAAGCAGCGAGCCTAAAGGAAATGGAACATCTCAGTATTTTCTCTACATGATTTGCATGGCACTGGGTCAGAGATATCAGTTTGCCTTTGCTGAGGCTAGTTGGGCTAAGGTGAGCAGGCGGGTGGTGAAATGCTGAGAAAATCAGTGGATTGTGTGCATTTGAATAGACTCAGGATGT